TGATAAATAGAATAGCAAAGACGAGAGTATTTTTCTTCTTTGAGAGATGGACAATGAGCATTGTAGTCTGGAATTTTTAAAAGATCACAGTATTGAAGTAAATAGATAGAATTCATAAAGTGTCCATCTTTAGCTTTAATAACAGGCGGCAAAAAACTATTATAGATTTCAAGAAATTCTATAGCATCTTTAGCTCTAAGCGGTCTACAACAACTTGTATCTTTGCATCTTTTAATGTCAATTGAATATGTACACAAATTGCAGTGCTTTTCGATCTAAGACTATAGAACAAAGCATTCAGGAAATGTATGTGTTTCATTTGCTTCGTCCTTTTGTGCATTTTTTTGTTTTTGTTTTTCTTCTCTTTCTAATTCTTCAGCTTTCTCTCTTTTTGTACTCTTAAACTGCAAATTTTCAAAAGGATTCTTGTGTGTATTGATGTATTAAGCGTCAACATACTTTCCAAAAATTAAATTATGACTCCAAATATTGCAAAGAGCCTCTTCAGCATATTGAAAATTCTTAGTAGCCAATTCAGGATCTATAACATTACTTTGTGAATTTAAATGTTTGCCAAAATGATCAATTGGTAATGTAATTCCAGCAAGTTTTTCAGATAATATTGCCATACCTCTTTCAACAGGATTATATTTAGATTGTCCTGAAGCATGTATTTGTATACTTAGGTAATCTAAATCAAACTTTTTAAAAATCTGACAATACATCTTTATGTTTTTTAAATATCTAGGATTTTTATCTGGCTCTCTATTTACTAACAACATCCAAATAAGTTGAATTTATTCATTAACTTTTAACGCGTTATCATATTTAGAATCTAAGGTAAGGCTTTTCAAATCCTACATATATGTAAGTGATGATGTACTAATAGATTATTGGGAACGTACAAAAATTACAAGTTGTACTGTTCGAAATTCATTTCTTGATTCATCTGGTTTTATTATTAGGTATACCAAAGGAATTAGTTTTTGTCTGCTTCCTATAAAAAATCATGATCGGCTACAGATATAAACTCATTTATTGATTGTAAGATGCAAAATATTCAACCTATTGCAGGCACTCCAAAACCCACTTTTGCTTTGTTATCTTAAAAAATAATAACGGACACATCAGCAAATATAGAAGCAAATTGCTTTATATATTTAACAGATGCAAGAAAATAGTGTCTATCAATATGCTCTTTAGTGTTCGTATGTGAAACTCCAGCTATAGTAACTCATGCTAGATAATGATGAGCTTTGCAGCAATTGAATTGGCTTGTCGAGATAAAAGATAATTGTTTAGTATTATTCTTGCTATGTAAATATTATAGTTTTCCTTCAGATTCTTACATAAATTTTCAATAATTCGCACTTTAACTATTTCTTTTCATCTTTTTGAATTAGCTGATTTGAATTCAATTGAGTCATAGATCTGGTTATGCAAGTCAGAATGTGCAAAAAGTAATGGTAAACGACCAGGATTATTGTATTGAACTACTTCTTGATTTTCAATAAGTATTTTTAAGCTTCTTGATTCTACAATTTTACGTATATCTTGCATTTCATTTTAATTTGTTAATTTTATTCTTATTTGTACTAATTTCAGATTCAGCCTTTTCTATTTTTAAGAATACATCATTTTTAATCTGAAAGTCTGTTGTGATACTATAAATTTAATTTAATTTAACAAGCTTTTTTTCAGTTGCTTTAATTTCTTCTGCTATCTTCTTTTAAGCTGATGCATTTTTAGGAATTTCTAACTCAACAATAGGTGAAATAGGCGGAATAGGCAGGGGAGTTAGTTCTACTGTAGGGTTAGAGTAGTTCACTCTTACTGTTGGTATAAAATATGGGTTAATTAGAGTAGATATATATTCTTTAATTATATTGTCAACTTCAATAGCATTTTTACTCTTAATATTTTTCTATTCTTTGGCTGCTTCACGATAAATAATAGCATGATCTGAAGTACTATTTCCCATTTTTAACATAGTATTATATGTATAAGCATTGGTAAATTCTTGATATTTATTATTTGGCGATTTAAAAATTAACTTTTTATTGAATTTAGGGTTATAAAAGTAGGTTTGACAACTCATTTTTAAAAACTTTATATGAGACGCATTTATAGTAGCAATAGTTCGTAAATTTTCTTTTATTAAGACACGAAATTATTAAAATTCTCTTTATAGATATATTAAACATTAATAATTTGTATTAAAACAGCACAAAAATTTTTTAATTTACTATTAAAACAGCAATTATAACGTGAAAATCCTTTAATTTTATATTAAAACAGCAAATCCTTCGCAATTAAATATATTAAAAGAGCATATATTTGCATTAAAATGGAAGTGCAATATTCAATATAAAAATAGAAAATATAATTTATTTTCTTAAAAAATGTAACATCTGGTGCAGTGTAACTTATTAGTATCATGTGATAGCACAATTATCTTATATGAAGGAGTGGAGTCAGACTTTATATTAAACTGATATTATGTAATAAATGTCATAGCCCTTATTTATTACACCTTTGATTTGGATTACCTGATTATTTATACTATATTTATCTTTTAGATCAAAATGTATATTTACTTCAGTTAAATAAAATATGATTTTTTTATCTAAACTTATTAATATTACTTTACCTATGAGTTCAGATCATATTTAAGTATTTAAAATAAAATAAATAAAGAATTAACATAACAGTCATGGGACATGTCTCCAATACATAGGTCAAAATGCTATTTATATAGTAATTAGATATCGATCACTTCAATTTTTATATGAAAATTTTTCATTTATAAAAGGCTTCTTCTATAAAAATCATATGTTTGTGAAACCGATTGTCAATTAATATCTGACAAAAATATATTTGTGATATTTTTTTATTATATCGTAAAAGTTACGACTTTATTGTTTTTTTAGTTTAAAGAGAATCTTTATTCGAAGTTAGAGTTTTCTAACCTTATAATATACGGTTTTTATTACTTTAATGACTTTCTTGAACCATTTATACATATATTATCCCTTCATTTTATCAATTTCTTTTGAAAAGCCGCATATCTAGTCCATTTAATATTCAAATTTAAAGTATATTTGATAAGTCAACTTCCTAACAGATCCTATTTTTCTAACTTTAAGACATTTCTTCGGGCTAACATTAAATCAAAAAAATTTTTACATTTAAAACCTTTTAGCAGCTGAGAATACATTTTCAAAAAGAAAAATATTTTATTAACCAGGTAATATCAAATATAGAGCATTTGTGTAGATAATTAGTGGAGAATTAGCATTAGATGAAGCAAATATTATCTATATAATTAATCAGTTAGCCAATTAATTACTTTTTTTATTATGTAGCCTCAAGATAACTTAGAAACTGCCAAATCCACTCAGAAACAAGTCGTATTCATCTCAAGAATCTAATTCAGATTCACAAATCAAGAATTAACAAATCTATCTACGCGAGAATGGTATTTATATGAGAATGATATATAATTTTAATAATAGTTGTAGGTTAGTTAATAATTAAAAAAATTATAAAAAGAAGTCGTAATATAAGTTGATAATGTAATATATAAAATAAATAAAAATAAAGATAAATAAATCTCATAATTAATAATAAAATGTAAATCAGTCTTGCTTTTATTGTATATATATTATGAACTGTGCTATGAATAATTAATTATTAAACTGAATCCATTACAATCTGATATTGTTGATATTTGAACCTTATGTCATCAATTCAACAATTTGGATATTGTTACATTTTGCATCATTTTGGCAACTTTCGGATTAGCTTCACCTTATCATTGATATTTTTAACAATTAACTGTTAATGTCAAGAAGACCGTTGGCCTAGAAACAAATAGATGATTTTAAATAGTATAAATAGACTTAGCTTTTTGCTTGCCCCTAAGGTAGTTGAATTCCTTAAACATTAATAAATAAAAATTCCGATTCTTTTCTAAACTCTCCTTTCTTGTATTATCTGTTATGTTTGTTATAAATTCATAAATCTATCATAAAACACCTTTGGTATAAACATTCCAATCAAGTTTTCGCAAATAATAATAAATGACTCAGAATTCACTTCTATGGATTTTGAGGAATATAACACTAACACTCTCGAAGAAAAAAGTGATGATGATATTGATCAAATTGCCCTTGCAAGTGCTTGAGCCCTACTAAATAATAATGAAAATGATAATATAGATTGGAGTGAGGTTGAGGTTGAACTTGAAGAACCTGAAAATTCTGATCATAATAATTCCTTTCAAACAATTAATGATGACATAGATATAGAAATCAAAAGAACCTCTGTGCAAAATCTAAACCTAACGTTATGTGTAGTTGTAGATACTATTCAAGGTGAAATAAAATGTTGTAATAGTACAGCAAACTTACGATAATTGGAATAATTGATAGGAACATGGGAGATAGATACAAATGCAGTCGAAGATATTAAAAATAATCTAAATTAGCTTGGAGTATATTACTATCATTTTCGCTTTGATCAGAATTAACTTCATGATAAAGGTATAAAAAAATCGTATTCAATTGAACAAAGCATTATCCATTTTCATTTCTGTATTTTCTGTAATAAAAAAATGTTTCTTTAGTCATAGTAACAGCTGTAAAAAGCATTTATGGAGTATTAATAAATGTAATATCCAAGTACCTTGTATTGGTATTCATAACTGTTCTGCATTTACTGAAGGATCGATTATAAAAAAGTCATCTTCAGGCTATTATGCACGCTATATTTGCTCGAAATGCTTTCAACAACAAGGTGGATATTTGTATGAAAGATCAGGCAAAGGTCAAAAATATGTATCATATATCGAACATGAGAAACATTGTAATGATACAAGTGATACTTTAAGGCATATCAGAAATTGGATAATATTAGTAGCAGAGTCAGATGATAATATATTACAAAAAATACTCCTATCTCTAATAGCCCCTACATTAGCTATTTTTAATAATAAAATAATGGAAAAAAATCTATCAGAAATGGAAGTAGCAAAACTTCTGAACAAGTTACTTGTTAGAACAATATTAAAAATTAGGAAAGTTGAATCAAATAAATCAACAAAAGAAAAGTCTCATATCATAACTCTAGAAAAGACTTCGATAATAGGAAAAGAATTAGAAAAAGTGGTTTTATTTTCACGTTCTGAAATTCAACAAAATATTAACCAATTAGAAAATCTAAACTCATATAAAAACTATTTTGATATATTACCCAAAACTATTTGCAATTTCTTTCAAGCTTTTATTACAGTACTACAACAACTAAAACAAAATGTTGTTAATAAGAAAAGACTTCAACGTGGACTTTCTCCAAAATCATTTAATACAAATCAAATATCAAAAACTATCACTTTATTAACTTCCTTAATACTAACTATTGCTTTTCCTGGAATAAAGATATGGCTTTCACATATTATGTCAAAAACCAAAATTGCTACCATACTTACGAGAGATTCTTTGTTCAACATGTATTATATCTTACACTAAAAGGCATGAAAATCGTCTTGAACATTTTAGGATGCATTATACAGATCCTAAAGAAAATTTAATTAAAGAATCAAATATTTGGAATTAGCAGTAATTGATAATATTGATTTCAAAGCTTCTACATTCTTATATGGCAATATTTTTGATGTTACATGACAAACTTAATATGTAACATTACGAATATTGTTTCAATTTACGATTTCAACCTCCTCTGATAATTTAATTAAAGATCATGAATCTATTAATCAACTACTATTTGGAACGTCTTCAATTACTGATAACCTTTTAATGATGTATGAGAATATTTTGAATATAATGTTAAAGACTCGTATAAATGAATTTAATATAGAAGATATACATTTGGAAATTATTAAGCAAATACCTATAAATTGCAATACTTCACCACCAAATGTTGTGATATTGGAACCCGGTGATACACCTAATTGTAATGAAAATGTTCATGCAGCATGTGAAATGTACTGTAATAATTTACCTTATGATAGTGATAGCCATCTATATATTGCATGTGATCAAGCAATTTTTGGGAGATTAATTTCTTATAAAGAAACTCATGAGGATGTTCGACTTCTTTTGGAACAGTGGCACACATCTAAAGATATGTGTAGCACTTTGATTACAATATTCTTGGGATATAGAATATTCAACCTTGCAGCAACTCTTGGTATACGATATTTAGATAAAATTTGAACGCGTTATAGATTACTGTGCAACATATCATGTATTAGAATTAATTTGGATCGCAGTTGGAATTGCATTATATTAACATGTAAAAAATAAAGGAGAAACTCTGAATGATATTTTGAAGGGCAATAATCAATTCATAAAGGTGTGGTATCTTTTTTTCTGTTGGACAGGATATTTTATAGATCATAAAATTGGAATTAGAAAAGGAAATTATAAAATGCAGATGTCAAATTTAGCAACATTCGCATCTCTTTTTCCTGCAGCTGGAAAATTTAGGTACGCAAGTTCCGTAGTGTATTTTTTAGCTCAAGTTCATAATGATTCACAACTATAAAAATTATTACAAATGGTATGTTCAGTAAACCTTGCAAGTGAAGGACATTATTTAGGTTTTGATGAAGCACTTGGAACATATGGCGTAAAGTTTATAAAGCAAAATATTACTGGAAATCTTACCGATCAGCCAACTATGATGTTGAAGATTAAAGCAGTCTAAAGTGAACGCAATCGTTTATCAATGCTTCTTGCAGAGTATACTGATGATATTGTTGTGATGAGTCAGAATACTTGTGCAATCAAATCATGTAAAGATTCACTCTGATCCTTGGTTATGAAATTATTATCTGCATTTGATCATCTAAATCCTGCAACACACTATCTGTTTGAAAATGCATCAGAAGTTAATGAAAAGGGTATTAATAATATTCTTTCTTTTTATGAATCTGGCAAATTACGCTTTCAATAAATTCTTATGCAAGATGTATACAAAACTGAATCCTGGGTAACTGCTAAACGTCATACTCGAAATGTAAGTCATTACACTTACACTCAACTTGAGGGTATGAAAAAACAAAAAAATAAAGTAGACAACCCTATTCATCCATCGATTGTTCAACAGAATACTTCATCTTCATCGCAACAGACATCATTATCCTTTGATATTAGCCATCCAAAAAAGTTACATCACACTACTACAAATACGAAAAAAGCTATACTTGACCAATTATTTGAATTTGAAGAAAAACTACCTGAAACTGCAATATCAAAAGTATTGTCAGAGCTTCAAACTATTTTTTTAGACTGGATAGCTGAAAGAATTAAACAGTATTTAAGAAATAACTGCCACAAGGTTCAAAAATAAAATTAAGTAATATTAGACCAGTACTTACATATAATGATAAATAATAAATGTGTTATAAACAATTATACTAATTATACTTCAATAATACATTAGAATACATATCTTAATTTTCCTTTATTATCCTAATATTACAATGTTTATAAGTAAACATCTAAAAGTCACAAGTAAAGTGCCTTTACATCAATAATATCTTTTAAAATGCTCTTTATTTACGATTCTTTTAAAAAAAAGCTAGCTTAAAATTAAAGTACTTAAAAGAGAATCTTGAAATTTACGTTAAAAAATAGCATTTTTCAAGTTAAGTTTTATTTGATATAAAGTTAAACAACAAATATATTTTTAATATAAAATATAAATATAAAATTTGAAGAATAAAACTTGTCTAAGGTCAAAATGTCATTTGCAATAAGCTAATTGAAGCATTTATACAAGAAAGTCATAGTATTATACGTTACATAAAAATTAATTACTATCAAGATCATTAAAAGGGACATGTCCCATGACTGTTAATATGATAAATCTAATAAATTTTATTTTATACTTTTATAATCACTAGATTTAAAATATTATAATTTTTTTACAAAGTTTTATAACTAATTTTATACATATGATTTAAAAAATAAGACTTAAAAATATGATCATTTTTATTAAAAATTGGATGATTCTTTTTTAATAAAAAATTTTTGCATTTTAATAAAGTTAAATGTAAAATATTATCATTAGATTTTTTGCAATAGAAAGAGAAGAAACTACTATAAAAAATTTTTAAATAATGTTAAATTTGGATTTATTTTACTAAAAAAATAAGATTTAGCTTATAAAGTAAAAAAGTTTTTTGGTAGTTTTTTTCTTTTCTATTGCAAAATGCTCATCTAATTTTAATTTTTTTAAGTATATATAGTAATATCATTTTTATTACAATTATATATTAGAACTTTTAAAAATAAAATCATATGATATTTATAATTTTAGTAATGATTAGTAACAATCTAAATTAAGATAATGTCAGCAGCTGAATATGAAATTCTCTTCTTTTATCATATTGTTTGCAAAAGATTATTAATATATGTATATTTAGAAATATCCTAATCAAAATAATGTAGAGTTAAGAAATCTTAAAATGATATATTACATAACCTTTTTAGTAAAAAAAATTATATTAAAAATTATAATATCAAGAAATTAGGAAATAATTAATTGAACGAAAAGTTATAAAGAAAAATAATTAGCTAGAAATTATATAATATTAAAGAAATAAGCAATTAAATAATGTAATAAAATACAAATTATCTGATATAACTATTTAGTAACACAATAATATAAATATAATATAACTAAAATATAATACAAATATAGTGATATGATAACTAGAAAATAATATAATAACTATAATATAATATAATAATAGAAAGTAATATAATAACTGAAGTATTATATAAAATAAAATAACTAAAGTTATAGGAAAAGAGAATAGTTAAAGAACTCTTAAAATAAAAAAATAAAAAGAAAAAAGCTATAAATATAAATGAATATTATATAAAGACTTAAATGAAAGAAATTAATGAACTAAAATTATAGAATACTTATATAATTTATATTATCAAAAAAGAAAATATTAAGAAAGAATATAAATATATTTGAATATGAAAGAAAAGAAAATGAAGTAATAATTAATAAAAATAAAAAAATAAATAATAATGATATCATAAAAATATATAATGATAATACATATCATATTCCTCTGAAAATAAGCAACATATTTTTGCTATATTATTGCTTATTTTCAGGTATATTTGATTAACTTATGATGTACAATCTAAAATCTACTAATTCACAATAAATCCTGTGATTGTTGATCACGTTAATTATCAAATGTCATATAAAATCATGAAAAAATTTTTTTATTCAGCTAAAATGTCACATTCTACAAAAAAAAAGAATTGTTAAATGAAAGGTTATAAAGTTAATAAACGTACACAAACTTCATATTCTATTGAACAAAAAATACAAGTCATTACCTATGCAAAAAAACATAATTACATTAAGGCAGCAGAGTACTTTGACATCAATTATAGTATAGTAGGATGTTAGTTCAAACTGAACAATTGAAATAAAGGAAAAAGTAAGAGGATTGATAGTAGTGATAACATCAATAGTAGCAATGATATTGATAATGATATTGAAGATGATATTGAAGATGATATTAATGATCATATTTAATATAATTTGTATATTGAAACATTAAAAATAAAATTTTTTTTTATAAATAGTATTTTATAAAATTTAATTAAATTGCTTATTTTCAGGTATTAAGTTAATTTGGGGTTGCTTATTTTCAGGGATTGTTTATTTTTAGAGGAATATGGTAATAGGTTATATAATAACCTTTAGAATTATGAATGAAAAAAAAACATAAAGGAAGGATTAGAAAATAAAAGTTAATAAAAACATTAGAATTTGTAATTAGGAAAATATTAATAAAAATCTGAAAATAATTATAACAAAATATTATAAATATTAGAATAAGAATAACATAAATTTAGAAATAATAATAAACTATGATGTAATAATAGAAATTAATAATAAAAGAATTAAAAATTAAAAAAAGAAATAAGAACTAGAAATTAATGGAAAATTAGATTTATTAAAAAGTAAATAGAAATTAGAATTAAAGAGAAAAAAATAAAAATTAAAGAAAAGATTTATAAATTAATTGTATTTAAATTTATATAATTAGGAATAGTAATTTTATTATGTAAATCACTTGTTCTCCTCTGATTTTTCTTTAACTTCTTCTAATTATACTTTCATCTCTTTTAGTCTTAATTCTATAAGTACTATAATATATTTAAGATCCTATTAATCAAATTTTTAGTAAAATAATAACCATACTTTTCTAATTCTTCTTTTTTTCTTTTGTATATATTTTTTGAAAAGTGATATACTTAATTTAAGTTAGGTTTAATTTTAAAAGAATATAAGATCAGTCTTTTTTTATTTTAATCATAGATTAGTTTAGAATGAGATTTTTGTAATTTCTTTTGATCTGTATAATTTACTTTTATCATAATTAAGATAGATATATATATAAATTATACTATACAATTAGTAAATTATACTATATAAATAACAATTGATGAAATCATATAACAATAAAATCATAAAATTTAGTATCAATTGATTACCAATCGAAATAGAACACTAAATCAATAAAAATTTTTTAAAAAATTTTTTTATTTTTTAATAATAAATATAAATCTCTATTAAAATAGTAAAAAATCATATAGAAATTGATAAAAAACTTGTCAAAAAGATACATTAAAGGCTAAAAAGTGTTAAATAATTCATTTAGATTATTAATTATATATAGATATTAAATATTATATATCATATAATATAATCTACATAAAAATATCATAACTTATACTTTAATAAATATATGAATAAATGCTAAAGTAGACTAAAAAATACTGAAATTAAACTTTTATATATTTAATTTTAAACTATAACTAATTAATAAATATATTTTTTTAAATTAATTATTAGTGATCTATTCAAATTGTCAAATTTGATCAAAAGCTAATAGCATCTGAAGTTTATTATTATATAAAATTTCAAGAATATTTAAATATATCAAAAATTAGTTTTGTAAGTATATATAATATATCAGATGAGATGAAAATAAAGTATAAAAAGCATTTTTTATAATGAATATTCAATATTCTTATAAAGGTAATAACACAACCTATAAAGTAAAAAATTGTGATTTCTTTTTTAGGTATGAAATATTTAATAAAGAAAAAAGTATTTTAGTATAAAGATATATAAATTTGCATTTAAAAAATTAGATATATGTTATAATCATTAAAATTCGTATTTTACAAATATATGATATTTTATGAGTTTAATAGCTTTAATAAGAACTATATCTTCTTAAACTGTTTCAATTACTTGTCTTCAAAAGGATTTGTTTTACAAATTAATTTTTATTTATCCAAGAATTTTATTTCTAATCATTTAATTTATTTCAGTTCATCCAATTCTTCTTTCCATTATTTTATTAATTTATATATTTCTATTTTCATTATTTTAGTATTATCATCTTCATAAATTCCTTAACTTTAATTAATCTTCAAAGTTTTATCATATTGTTATAATGTCTTTTAAATCTTTAATTCCTATATTATTGTATTATGTATAAATTCCTTAATTATAATTTCTATTATCTTTAATTTTCAAATATTTTTCATAGATTATATTCATTATTTCTAAATTATTTTCTTATTATCTTTATCATTTTCTTATTTCTTTATTTTCTATTTATTTCTTATTTGATTATTTTGTTATTATTGATAAAATTCAGGTTTCCTGTAATCTTTTTCTACATTTTTATATTCTTTATTTTTAGTATTATTATATATTTCTTTAGTTATTTCCATAATTATTATTTATTCTATTTATTATTCTTATTCCTTTTTTTGAATATTTCAAGTTATCATTATTTTCTTTCTGTTATTTTTATTATTGTTAAACTCTCTGTTCGATTATTTTATTATCATAAGTTTCCTAATAATTTTTTGTAATAAAATATTAATTAAACATATATTTTAACATAGTTTCTGTTAGTCAATTTATATTCAAGTATTTATTCAATATACTTTTGTATTTACTGTTAAATATAAGTATTCGTTTATTTTAAAGGAATGATTATTTATTATTTTAACATGTATTAGAAAATTAAAATGATCTGCATTTTTTTTAAGTTTCAGTATCTGAATACTAAAAGACCATATAGTGATAGTACTAATTGAGATATATAATCTTGACCAATCTTAGGATTCTTAAAGTCATGACTAAACTTAAGTTCTAATTAGATCTATTTGTTAATACTGGTTTAAAGTCTGCCATCTAGGTTAACCTTTAAAAGTTAACCTTTAGGGATCCTAGAACCTTAAAATTACTGTTAAATTTGAATAGAGGGATTACTTTCAGTTACAGGT